CGGCTAGCTGCAAGTGTGTCAAAATATAGCCATTAGATGCTGGTTCTCAACCTAGGTTCCTATGAGCACACAAGGTAGCTATCTAAGAGTGTTCAAGCTGTAAATTGGGTACCTGTAGCAGTTCAGGCTGATCAACCTGAGGTTCAATAGCGGTTTGTATAATATAACATAATCTCGCCACAGTATATTGACAGAAGGTTCATACCTCAAGAAGTCCATAGTTTCAATAAAGAGAAGGTAGATATCTAATTCTAAAACCGCAGGGGAAAGCAGTGGGAAAAACTCTTTTACTATACCTGCAATTGAAGCTTGCAAACTCTCTACCACAGGCAAGTTAGGACAAATCTGTTCTATTTCTAGTTTTGAAGTATAATGGTTTTTAAGAAATGTCTGATGGAAAAGGTAGAAAAACATCTAGAGGCAGAGGAGATATGAGTTCGCTAAAAGAATTCGTTGAAATAGGCATTAAGCAAAAGGTTTGTATCGTGTTAAATGAGAATGCTACTATTGTTATGACCGGTTAAAACTCTACAAATTTGTATATTTCAATAGTTAGTGCTGATAGTAGTGTAATTGTTAGATTCAAGGCATAGCAAAACAAGGACCACAATGTAAATAAGTGTGCTAGTCATGCTTTTTGTGTATATATATCCTTGGTAGTTATCCAATTTTATGAATTCCGAATTTTATTGTAAAAGTATGCTATGTATTGTATATGATGGATAATTGCCTAAATAAATAATAAAAATGGAGGAGACAGGGTGTTAAGACGTCATGGGATGAGATGTCTCAACTGTATGGGGTAGAAAGGCTGTTATAACTTCGTGGGGAAGGGTGTCCATGCTGGATGGAGGGGAAAGCCTGACATGGCAATTCGGGTACATGGATAGTTAAGAGGTTTTGAAGGAAGATGCGCCATTGCTGGGTTTTATTCGAGGATGGTAGACTGTTCTAGACGCGGAGAGAGAGACTCGTGGCATTATGTGCTGATGGATGAGATTGGAAAGATGCTTGAAAGAAAGATGCTTGTGAGCATTATAGTTCTGTCTGGAGGATGTGAGTAGGATGATAGTTCGGTCTGGATTGGGACTGGTAAATGCAGGCCCGTAGCCAGCTTTGTATTGGGGGGGGGGGTTCGTTTTTCAATGTTGGCAATTTGCTCGGCAGGGGCGTGTACAGGATTTGTAGCAGGGGGGGTCTAACCGTAACCCAAAGTTTCGAGAACGCGAAGGGGGGTGTCTGGGGGGCCCTTCCCCAGAAAATTTTTAAAATTACACCCCCTCAGATACGTTTTCTGCGCGAGCAAGGTGGGGTCCGGACTCCCTGGTCCCGCGCTGTACACGCGCCCTGCTCGGGCGCGAAGCGACCAGGCGAGGAGCCAAGCGACCCGAGCGAGGGAGGGTGGGGAGGGGTGTTCACTGTTACAGCTCCCGCACGATGGAGATTTTGCAATTATTACACTGAGGTAACTGAGGTACTGAGGTGAAATTCTTGCAAATTTTCAAAAAATATTTTTTTTTTGGCTTGGGCCGGGGGGGGGGGGGTTCGTTCGAACCCCCCGAACGCCCGCCCCCTGGCTAACGGCCTGTAATGTAACTGTATGTTCTGGCTTAGAAATTGGTAAAAATATCAGAATTATACAACGCTTTTCTGATACGACTTCCAACATGGACGCAATTTCCTGCGCCTTTGTTTCATTTATTCTTCATTAAAATTCGCACGCCAATGTACTAGCGCCGCCATCGTTCTGTAATTTTCATCGTATAGCATTAGCCGCGCCGTCGTTTAGCTTGCTGCCGCGAAACACTGGCAGCAAGCCGCAGCAAAGATTTAGCATGGCTCGTCATAATCAGATAAATCACCGGCAGGCCTCGATGTCCTTTGCGTGACCTTCCCTGATAGGCGACATGTTTACAAGCTCTCGTCAGTAAATCCTTTGCGGTTTTTCGGGGTTAAAATTCCTGCCGCGCTCTTATGATACATACAAGCATACACGGCTGTTATCGGAACAAACATGATCGCTAACTTTAATCAGCCTACGATATCAAGGACGTCACGACGCGACAAGAAGCAAGGCAGCAGCAGCAGCAGTCTGCATCCCTGGATGCTGCCTGTGCTGCTGCTGCTGCTGCTGCTGCGCTGCTGCTGCTGCTGCTCTACTACTGACTATACTGCTACTACTACTACTACTACTACTACTACTACACTACTACTACTAGCTACTACTACTACGCTACTACTACTACTACTACTACTACTACTACTACTACTACTGCCACTACTACTTCTACAACTGATGTTGTTGTTGCATGTTGTTGTTGTTGCTGCTGCTGCTGCAGCTGCCACCACTGCTGTTTCTGCTGCTGCTGCTGCTGCTGCTGCCGCCACCACTGCTGTTTCTGCTGCTGCTGCTGCTGCTGCTGCTGCTGATGTGGCTACTGCTGCCAGGGCAACGCCGATTTATCATCATCATCATCATCATCATCATCATCATCATCATCATCGTCGTCGTCATCTCGGGCCTCGGCAACCACCCTCTTCATCCTGCCGACTGCAGCGGGGCGCGAGCAGACCCTGGCTTCCTGTCGTGAATGAGCAGCAGATCCAGAGCCGCGACGACGACGACGAGCATTCGAGCAAATTGCGCAATTCAGCCGATCGACGTCGCGACATATCGGCAGAAGAGAAAATTTGATTTGAATAATATCAATAGCGCTCGCTGATGAGCGTCTGCCGTTATAGATAGCCGCCGCGGCGGCGAGGCCCCGACAACGACGACGACGATGACGATGACGACGACGCGCGCTGCGGCATCTGATTGCACGATTGCGTGCTGATGTGTTTTAATTATGCTCGCGGCCGGGGCTCCATCGAATGCAACCGCGGGGGGAACACGCAAGAAAGAAAGAGTTGTAATAGGGGAACGAGTACGCAGAAAAGTTCACGAGGAACGATATGCTGTTTGCTTGCGGAACGTTTGGAATATGTTCGCGGCGTGCGTTGCAGACGATGGAGAGCAGTGCAGTATCGTTAATTGCATAATTAAAGGATTACCGGACTGGTTTTTTTACGGAGAATATTACGAACTGCTCGTAGCTCCTGGCATTGTTACTAGATTACAGTACGCGAGAAACGCTGCTGATCGCTTGTAGATTACAACGAACAATAAAAGCTGCGCTTACAGTTCATAGTGAACGACGCAGTTTGGGAACACGGATGAACACGTGGCTGACTGGGAACGACTAGGCTGCGAATACACGAGGTGGAACGCGTCTGGTGTTTGGTGTCCCCGGCAGCGGCCTGATGGAGCGAGTACATGTCTCTCTCGCCTCCAAACATCTGCTGCTCATCTTCCGCCTCGAGTCTGTAGCTAGCTGGATTCGTAACAGCAGGGCAGAGCACCTCACGGATAATAGCTGGCTTCCTGGCAGAAGAGGGCAGAGTGCCAGTGACGCTGCAGCTGGTTAGGTTACAGGAAGAGAAGGTAGCGGGGGATGCTATCGCTGGTGCGCGTGGCGAGATGGCGCAGTAGCAAGGGTGATGGCTGCGGATCGTGGCGGGAGTGCCAAGGACGCCGTCACGGTAGTATGATAGCATAATTAAGGAGGCGTACTGGGGAGAAGCTGGGCGGTTTCCCAGCCGTGGGGGCAAAGTAGCGAGTATACCGACTGTCTGGCTTTATTGCGACAGGCACAGCACCAAGGGTGGTGACAGTTTAGCTACATTGAGGTAGGTACGGCACTGGTGGTGCTGTGTGGTTATGTCACAGGAAACAGAGTAGCCAGGGTGTGGGCGGACTTTATAACAGCAGGCAGCAGCCGTACTAGGAAGCTAACTGGCTTCCTGGAAGAGAGGACACCGTTAGACACATGTTGGGAATATATACCAGGCGCCAAGGATGTGGGCGGGCTTTATAATTATAATCATAACAGACTAGATATAGAGGTAGTCATTATAAAGTGTCTGAAATCGGTGTAGGAGGGAGTTGTTAACGCCGACTTTCACTTTCACTGTGTCCACATGTCGCCACGCGGGAAGTTTATATGTTCAGCCTATTTATAAGATATATCAACGTCAATTGCTTGTGCCATAGTATCAGAACTACAGTTAAAGATTTACTACATAAATTTGTTCATATTCATATACATGCATTCAATCATTTTTGCAAACTCTACAATAGTGCAACTCTTCATAACTGCTAAAATGCGGTATGCAGCATGTCTTAACGCAGTATACAAGGCACACGAAACAGACGTTATACTGGTGCAAATCAAAAGAAATTCAAGGAGAAGCAGGAATGAAAGCCTGACATCTGTAATAGCCCACAGAACGCTCGGTGAATGATTCCGGCGAGTTTTCTTAACGTGTTTTACCTGGTGCACCATGTTTAGGGATAATCAGTTATTATCTTCCTTATATGGGAGCATTTGCATAAGTTGAGTTATCCTTTCATCCACATATAATAACATTGGTCTTGGCCGCCAGAACGTGCCTCATTTCCCATAGATGATAGCAACAGTGTTAGATATCGTAATCAATTTCGTCTAAATGATATCCCCCGTGATGAGTACTTATTAGTGCTACATTTCTCTAACTCTTCTCTTTCCATAACTAAGCTTTGAATTAGAGGTAGAGTTAGAGTTAGTAGCCAAAACGATGTCACGAGTTGTAGAGGTGCATATGAAAAATGTGGTCATATAATATATATATATATATATACATATATATATATATATATATATATATATAATAATATGTGTGTGTGTGTGTGTGTGTGTGTGTGTGTGTGTGTGTGTGTGTGTGTGTGTGTGTGTGTGTGTGTGTGTGTGTGTATGTGTGTGTTCTGTGTGTGTGTGCGCGCGCGCCTGTGCATGATAAATGATAATGTGATTCTCGATTCTTGTTTACATAATGTTTGGAACTAATATCTATGATTCGCGTCTAACACTAACACTTTCACAAACATTCATTGAGCTCTGTCTCCGTCTTGCGTGTTGCAGAGGTAGACATGTTCAACGCTGTCGATATTAAGACGGTGCGCGGAGTCAAGAAACTGAGGAAGGGAATCCTCCCGGACGTGCCTGCCTACCGCTTCCGCCGCGAGGTCCACGGGCTCCAGTTTCCGGCCGACATCGCCGCCAGGTTGCGCCACGACGTGCGCGGCGCGCTGACGATGCACTTCGTCGGCAAGCAGAACAAGAGAACAGATTCGGTGCTGTTCTCCGTTGACGTTCCTGGCGCTTCGTCGCCATGGCTACGCCTGTCGTCGGACGTCAAGCACAAGCTGCTGCGACTGCAGGCGACGATCAAAGATGGCCGCCGCCAGACGCTGACACTTCCGAACGCATTCGTCGATCACAAACACTGGCACAAGGTGGCGCTGGCGATCAACACGACGCACGTGAGAATGTACATCGACTGCGTGCAGGATCATGTCAGCAAAGAGCTGACCGGCGTCGACTTTGCGTGGCCGGAGAATGCGAGCGTCAGCATATTACAGGATTCTCACGGAGGCAACAGTTTTAAGGTAGATTGACCGCTTCTAACCGACTGCTGTCTCCATAGTGTCTGCATTTATAAAGTTAGATGGTGACATGAGGTTATTACATTACAGATAAATAGATGGATATATATATATATACTTCTGATATATATGTGTGTGTGTGTGTGTGTGTGTGCGTGCGTGCGTGTGTGCGTGCGTGCGTGCGTGCGTGCGTGCGTGCGTGCGTGCGTGCGTGCGTGGATGGATGGATGGATGGATGGACGGACGGACGGACGGACGGACGGACGGACGGACGGACGGACGGACGGACGGACGGACGGACAGACGTATGGATGGATGGATGGATGGATGGATGGATGGATAGATTTATAGATAGAAAAATAGATAGATAGATAGACGCGCAGTAGTACGCACAGGTGCGCGCGCAGGCACACGCACACACGCGCGTAGGGACACGCGTACACACACGCACTTGCACAAGCACGCGCGCACACGTGTTATTATCTGCACACATGGCAGACACAGTAAGTCATGCTCTAATCAGCATCTGCCACCTGTTGAAACTTGTTTAGGTGTTTTGCCGCGCTTTTTACACCGCACCGCAGCACACCGTTTTTACGCAAACACATGCACACTTGAGTGTCTGCGTGTATGTGCACGCATGAGTGTGTTAGAACAGCAGCAGACAGAGAAGCAACAGCAACAGCGGAGTAGGAGGAGGAGAGCGTTCTTCCGCGTTGCGCAGCCGACAGCTGACGGTTGCCAGGCGGCCGCCGAGCCGTAACCCGGCAACACCTTCTTCTCCTCATCCTCCTCCTTGTCCTCTTCCTCCTTCTCCTCTTCCTCCTCCTCCTCTTCATTCTCCATATCCGCCTCCTCTTCCCCTCCTCCTCCCCCTGTTCTTCTTCTTCCTCCTCCTCCTCCTCCTCCTTCTCCTCTTCCTCCTCCTCCTCCTCTGCCACAGCAGCTGTTGTAGCCCTCTACAGCTGCGGCATCATTTGCAGCGCCTCCCTGCGAGAAACATGGCTTCTTCTTTGCCGTCTTGCGCCATTTCATCTTTCATAAGTGTCAAGCGATGCTTTTACGTTTACTTCTCCGCCTAATTGAGATTGGATCTGGCGCATCTTGATAGATGATGATGTCCCTATCGACGATGATGATGAGTATAGTGACGCATTTCGGCAAATAAGCACGGGAAGAGAAGGGTAGTGGCAGGTGGAGATGGGTTGCAATGAGCAGAGACGAGTAGGGATGAATAGGAATAGGTAGGACTGTGCATGAATGGGTAGGGATGAGCAGGGATAGATAGGAAATATTGTAGTGCTGTCGCTGCACCTGTTTTAATTACTACGTTATTCCTACTACTACTACCACTCTATTATGCTTGTATTGCTTTGTTTCAGGGTTCCATGCAGGTGGCGACACTGTACCTACGTAATGTCAAGCAGAAGCCGTGGCTGTGTAATGAGACAGGTATGTGAATACTATTATTATCCCCATTATGCTACAGCAGCAGCAGCAACAACACAACAGCAGCAATAACAGCAGCAGCAACAACAACAACAGCAGTAGTAGTAGTAGCAGCGGCGGCGGCAGGAGTAGCAACAACAGCAGCAGCAGGAGCAGCAGCAGCAGCAGCAGCAACGGTAGCAGCAGCAGCAGCAGCTGCAGCAACAGCAGCAGCAGTAGCAGCAGTAGTAACAGCAGCAGCAGTAGCAGCAGTAGTAATAGCAGCAGCAGCATTAACAACAATATCAACAGAAGCAACACCAGCGACAGCAGCAGCAGTAGCAGCAGTAGTAACAGCAGCAGCAGCATTAACAACAATAGCAATAGCAGCAACACCAGCAACAACAGCAGCAGCAACAGCAACAGCAGCAACAGCATCAGCAGCAGCAGCAGCAGCAGCAGCTGCAGCAGCAGCAGCAGCAGCAGCACAATCAGTAACAGTGGCGGGTTCATGCACTTCTACGAGAAATCCAAGAGCCACTCTCGGTTTCAATAGCAGCTAATCACACGGCGGGTTTTTTCATCGTTCTACATGCTGATATCTCCCGGCCTGAAACCCTGCTCCAGTAAATCTCGCAGCAGTAGTTACACTCCTCCAGCCTTGCCGCAGCCGCGCGTCTATCCTCCACATTATTCGGGCAGACAGTGATTTCTAACCGGCAAGCATTAACTGCTCCTTCCACCGCCTCCTCCTTCTTCTTGCGCTCCTCAACCGCTCTCCGTCTTTCTCAGATAAAAACCGATTTACCCGCCGAGTTTCCCCGACTTCTCGTTTCTTGCCGGACATTGCAATGAGTCACGATAGGGGGCCTGGCGGATGCTCCCCGTCGATGTCGTCTGCTCCCGTCTGTGACGCGAGAAGGCTAGGAGAGAAGACGATGGATAAAAGGGAAAGAGGGAATAGGTGGAAGGGAGTTAAGCGCGATGGATATGTAGGAGGAGTGATAGTTTGGAGAAGGAAGCTTTAGTTATTGGGCGCAAGAGAAGGAATATAGTCGGTAGCGAAGGCACGCCGTGGGTGGTAGCGAATATACGAGAAGTGGAATGAATAGAATACGTAAGCTAGATGGGGGAGGATAAAGGGGTTTAAAAAAGGAAAGCGCGATACAGATAGGCGGAAAGAATATCGACTAGTCCTAAAGAGGACGAGGCATGGATGGGAGGGAAGACGAGCGATGGATGGGAGGGAAGACGAGCGATGGATGACCGAGGACACCGGTGTCAGTATGGAGCCGCAGTCAGGCGTGAGTAGTGCCTGCGTGGATTATATTCGGTGCTGCTTTCAGGGCAGGCTCTCTATGTCTGCTGGATGCGATCCAGAGTAAATCCATTAGGGGCAATTGCCTTTATTCCTCCTTGAAGCAATAAACATGCCGTTTTGAAGCGACGAAGTGTTGTGTGGGCAAAAACCGATATAGGCGACCTGTGTGAAGGCGGATCGGATGCTGGGTGCTCAACTCCCACATCCTTGATGCTGCCTGCCATTCGCGCAGAATGTCAACTCTGTGGCAGTTACGTGGCGGGTCTGGGACATCACTGAGGCAGGCATGAGGCGCCAGTGCGATAGATATGAGGCGATTTTGAGCCATCACTGGCATAGTAACGAGGCAGCCAAGAGGAGACAATCGCAGTGCACGTCCGAAACAGCTATGAGACAGTCACGCGGAAGTCGTGAGACACATCCCTGAGACAGCTTCGAGACGGATGCGACACGGCTAGGCATGAAGACAATGCGAAGACGGCGCTCGCGCGCCACCCACGACCGCCGCCGCCGCCGCCGCCGCCGATGCGGAGACGGCGCTCGCGCGCCACCCACGACCGCTGCCGCCGCCGCCGTCCGCGGGGACGCGGCGGCCATTAGTGTCTCACGTGTTATTGTTGCAGCGTCTGGCGGCAGCTGGCCGCCGCCACGTGAGACGGCGGTAATTGCGGTAACCGGCCTGTAAGCGGAGACGTTAGAGGGCGGCGTGGCCTCACCGACACCTCATCCCCACCTCCTTGCTCGCTTACTCTGCCAGAGAGCTGTTAATTGTGGCGCGAGCTGTAAGCGGAGATGTACGAGAGAGTGGTGGGCGAACCGGCCAATACGCCACCACACGCACGTACGCACGGTATCAGACAGGCGCATCTGCTAGCAAGAGGGATAGGTGGAGGCTGAGAGAGAGGGGGGGGCAGCGAGGGGAGTTTGGAGGGGGACAGTACGCGAAATGGATAGATGAATAGACCAAACGTGAAGAGAAAGAGTGCACGCGAGGTAGAAAAAGGTGGTAGGACAGATAGAGATAGAGAAAGCAAGAACGAGATATAGTGTAAGAAAGATGCGGGAAGGAAAGGGGAAGTTGAAAGGGAAGCCATATTAGTAATTAGGTGTAGCCAGAGAGAGAGAGAGAGAGAGAGAGAGAGAGAGCGCGAAAAAAAGCGAGAGCGAAACCGAGCGAGAACGGGGAGAGGGGGTACTAAGAGAGGAAGGCGAGTGAAAGAGGAGGAAGTGAACTATGTATAGAGCTACGATTCGTTGGTTCCCACATTTACATGTATATCAGACCTCTGTTCAACAGTGAATGTTTATGTAGGGTTCGACGTTTAACCTACACGCAAATAGGTCACCCAGCGTCCGGATGCCTTGTTGCTGATGTATGTTAGTTGTATCGCCAAACACTCTCCGTTTTCCTCTCTGTTATGTTTGTCCATGATACCTCTATGACACTAATTAAACAAAAACAAATAAACCGTGATCACGAGCAAATGCGAAAAGATATCGAGAACGCCGCGCCGCGCGCGCGCGGCCGCCGCGCGCCGCGTGTGTGTGTGTGTGTGTGTGTGTGTGTGTGTGTTGTGTGTTGTTTGTAGGCTACGTGTGTTTGTTTGTTTGTTTGTGTGTGTGTGTGTCTTTACACATTGAAATACACAAACCCGCACGCACATACGCACGCACACACAGACTTAGTAGAAAGTAGAGGAATGATATGGATACAAATATGCAAATAGCGCGCGCGAGAAAGAAATGGAAAGATGGAGAGAGAAAGATAGCGAGAGGAGAGAGAGAGAGAGAGAAGAGGAGATGAGAGAGAGAGGGAGAGAGAGAGAGGGGAGAGAGAGAGAGAGAGAGAGAGAGAGGGAGAGAGACATGAAGAGGGAGGGAAGATGAGATATAATTAGATAGTGTAGGGAGAGGATATTAGAGATCTGAAAAGAAAAACAAAGCTTAGCAATGTTAGCACTGATATGCACGCTGCCGTATATACCGCGCCATCGGGATTAGCTGCGTGTTTGTTAAAGAACGCTGATTACGAGCATCTCCCACAGCTGCCAGCTTCCTCGACAACAGCATCAGTGCCAGCTCGGATCACAGCAGAGATTGTGACACATTGCCCGCATCCAATACTCGGCCACCTTACAGCGTCTTACAGCTCGCGCCGGTTATCAAAACGACCGGCACGAATGGCCACGCAACCCAACCGACGCACCGACAAAAAAAAACCTACTGCGCCATTTAAAAACAACTCGCATTTCTGCCAAGCCATGCATGCCGTTGGGCTTCCCGGTCACATCCGGTTTGTTGACTCTGTGCGCCGCGCGATACAACACATTCCCAGCGGCGGAGCGTTGATGCTCGGTCGGTGAATGGCTGGATGCTGATAACGATGTCGTGGATGCTTTCATTGCTTTCTGTTTACACACATCACACACACACACACCCACACCACGCCACGCACGCAACGCACGCCACGCTACGCACGCACGCACGGCACCGACCACGCACGCACGCACGCACGCACACACACACACTCTCTCTCCGCTCTTCTCGCTCGTCTCTTCTCCTCTCGCTTCTCGCTCTCTCTCTCTCTCTCTCTTTCTCTCTTTCTCGTCCTCTCCCTCCTATCTCCTCTCTTCTCTCTCTCTCTCTCTCTCTCTTCTCTCACTCTCTCTCCTCTCTCACTTCTTGTGTGTGTGGTGCGCTGCGTGCCGTGCGTCGGCGTCGCCTTGCTATGTGCCATGCCGTGTGTGCCGTCCGCGTGCGCAGGTTCGTGCGTGGTGCATCGTGCTGTGCGCCGCGCGCGCGTGTGTGTCGTTGTGTTGTGTGTGTGTACTTGTGTGTGTAGCGTGTGTGTGCCCGTGGGTTGGTGTGTGCGTGTGTGTGTTGTGTCGTGTGCGTTCGTGTGTGTGCGGTTGCCCTTCTGCCTGTGTGTGTGTGTGTGTGTGTGTGTGTGTGTGTGTGTGTGATATGGAGCTTGCCAGTTGCTTGGTAGCGTAATTGTCGGCGCTGAACGAGCTATAGTGTGTCAGTCAATCTGTGTGTCTGTTAGTCTCCCTCTAACTATTTATCTTCTCTCGTTCTCCCCCTCTCTCTTCTCTCAAGTGTTCTCTCTTACTCTTTTATTCTCTTCTATTTTACTTTCTCTGTTTCTCGTTATTCCACTCAGGCACTCCCTCTCCATCCTTTCTCTGTATGTCTTTTATCTCTCGCGGACGTTCTTACTCCGTCCCTCCCTCCTTTCTCTCTCTCAATATCATTCGTTCTCTCTTTCCTGCTCGTTCGATCGCTCTCCCTAACACATCGTACTGTCACTCTACATGCGTCTCAGTGCACAAGCAGCACACCTACCACAGCTCGATTAGGTAAGGTAGGGACTAGGATGAGTATAGGTCACCGGGAGGTCAGGTAACCTCATTAAGTTTAGGAGGCTTAGGTCGGGGGGTAGTAATGGGAGAGAGAATGGTACACGAGGGAAGAGTATAGATAGCTAGAAAAGATTCTGGTGCTACTATGGTAAGGTGAGCGATCACCGTTAGTTATGTTACCGGGTTAACGTAGAAAACTGGGTAGGATATATGTTGACAGGATAACAGAGAACAGCGTTAACACATCGCAGTGCCTGGGTCACAGCTAGGTCACGCTAGCCGAGCGTCGTAAATAAGATACGTTTGTTGTGTGTTTTTAGCGAGGAAAGTAAGTACCATCA